TTGCACTGATACATCTGTCAACAATACAGAATAACTCAGGTCATGGTTATCAAACATCAGAATCATCTTCCTGACTATCCCACCTCCTTTACATGGACGATCTGAAACTGGAAGAACATCATCTGAAATAGAATCACTGCTCAATACTGTCCATACATACAGCCAAGATATTGCAGTGGAGTTTGGACTGGAAAAATGCATCATTCTCACCATCAAATAGAGAAAAATAGTGAAAACTAAAGGAATCAAGATGCCCTATGGAAATAACATCAACAGTCTGGATGAAGATGTTATTACAAGTACCTGGGCATACTTCAAGCAGACAATATCAGACACATTGAAGTCAAGAGAAAGGTTAGAAGTGAATACATCAAGAGAAGATCTTAAAGTGGAGAAAATACCATCAAGGCAATCAACATCTGGGCAATTCAAATCATTAGACACATAGCTGGAATAGTGGACTGGACTGAAGCAGAATTAAAAGGATAAGAAGACCAGAGAAATAATGACAATGAATCATGCCCTTCATCTTCACAGTGACATTGACAAACTCTACCTACCAAGGAAAATATGTGGGCATGGAATGTTGCAAGTACATCAGATGGTTGAAGAAGAAAAAAGAGCATTGGAAGAATATCTGAAGGACAGTGAAGAAGATGCACTGAAGCTAGTATACCAGGAAGGCTCACTGACTACTGGAGAGACCAAACTGGCCTACAAGAAAGATAAAATGAAGAATATAATGGGGGCATGAAAGACAAAACATTACATGGCCAGTACAAAAATAGCAGAGAAAGTAGATAATAACAAGACCTGGCAATGGCTAAGAGCAGGAAAATTGAAGAAAGAGACTGAAGGATTAATTCTGGCTGCACATGACCAAACCTTAAAAACAAATACATACAAAACCAGAATTGCGAGGACAGCAACAGATAGCAAGTGCCTCCAATGTAAAGAAGCTGAAGAAACAGTGGACCACCTGGTTAGCTGCTTCAATAAGATCTCCCAGACTGTCTATAAGCAATAGCATGACAAAGTGGCAACAATGGTGCATTGGAAGATCTGCAAGAAATATCATTTGCCTGCAAGCAAGAACTGGGATCATAGAAAATGAAGAAACTAAATCATTCTGGGACTTTAGAATTCAAACAGACATGCACCTGCCACAGACACACACACACACACCCCAGAGTAAACAATTGTCAATAAAAAGACAAAAAAAAATCCGGATAGTGGACATGGCAGTATGCTGGAGACAGCAAAATAGAAGAGAAAGAACTGGAGAAGATAACAAAATACAAATATGTGCAAATAGAAATAGAATGACTGTGGCAAAAGCAAGCAAAGGTAGTACCAATAGTAATAGGTGCCTTCGGTGCAATCCCAAAACAACTGGAGCACCACTTGAACACCATTGGCATTGACAAATTCACCATCAGTCAATTGGAAAAGGTGGCTTTACTTGGAACAGCTTCCATCCTGTGACAATATCTGTAACATCATCAGATTTCCAGATCTGCCTATCCCTGGTTTTGGACTTGATAAATAGACAAAAATGCCAAATCTCGACTGAACATCTGGCTGATTGTGCAATAATAATAATAATAATAATAATAATAATAATAATAATAACAACAACAACAACAACTCCCTTTACCTATTGCTTAACCCTTCTATGCTTGATTGGATTAGATTTTGATTTATAGTGATTTTATTGTGTTAAAGTGACTTTATTGTTAAATTTGTGGTGAACTTCCTTCTTAAGTGATAGTCATTGAATGTGCAAATTGAGTCTAATTAGTTAACTTTTTGGCTATTTCAGTTTTGATTTAATTTTGCTTGCTGCGGTTGTGCCACATATTAGTCGCATTAATAAGCATGAATATAGCAGGATTCACAGCCACAAAAGTGCTTTTAGCATTCACTATTTCTGACTTTTTTTGTGGGGGAGGATGTTACAAAATGCTATCCTAGCAGTGACAACATTCTGTTCTTAACATTATCTTATATCCATTCTAAAAAAGAATGTGCTTTGTGCTTGTTTAGTTTGTTCCAAGGACAACATTTTTCATTTAAATCATGGGTGTCCAATCTTTTGGCTTGTCTGGGCTGCATTGAGTGAAGAGGAATTATCATGGACCACATACTAAAGTTAATATATATAAATAACAAACTTCCTTTATTTTTTATGATCTTGTGGTCTGCATTACTAGCTGTCCAGGGTTGCATATGGCTGCATATGGTGGGTGGGACGCATCTGATTTAAACCTTTTGAAAAACAGTATGGCTAGTATATTTTCTAGTCATGACAGTCACTCTAAACAAACCTTTCTTTATTTGGACTCATATTGATGTTTTGGGTAGTAATGATTTGAATATCCAGCCAGCATGACCAGATTTGTAATGGTAAACATCTCCAAAGAGTCAGATTGATGAAGCCTGAACTGAACTAACAAGAAGATTACAGGTAGTCCTTGACTTACAACAGTTCATTTAGTGACTGTTTGAAGTTACAAAGGCACTGAAAAAAGTGACTTATGACCATTTTTCACACTTACGACCGTTGCAGCATCCCCCTGGTTACATGATTTACATTTGGATGTGTGACAATTGACTCACATTTATGATGGTTGCAGTGTCCCGGAGTCATGTGATCCCCTTTGCAACCTTCTGACAAGCAAAGTCAGTGGGGAAACCAGATTCACTTAACAACTGTGTTACTAATTTAAGCACTGCAATGATTCATTTAACAAATGTGAAAAGTCATAAAATGGGTCAAAACTCACTTAACAAATTTCTCACTTGACAACATAAATTTGGAGCTCAATTGTAGTCGTAAGTTGAGGACTACCTGTGTATAGTTAATAAATTTGGAAGCTTCTGAAAATTATTTTGAGTTATAGTGACAGTGAAATTTACAAAAACATGTGAGATAAAAATAGAGTTAGTACCTTTACAGCACAACTTTACACATACAGGTTCAGATGCATATAACTGCAGTCTCTCAGTGCTAATGAGAAATATCCTTCCTTATTTGTCACATATCTGGAGATACAATAAGAATGTATTTTGGGGATCTATTAATGACATGTTATTTAACATCTCTCTAGAGGTGTTGGAATTTTGAAATGAGGCAGCATATTTACATTCCAATTAGCTACAGATCACAAAAAGACAGTAAAAAATAAAAACAACATAGAATTAGAGAACAGGGGTTCCTGTGTTGTTGCAGAATCTGTAGCGTTGTAGAATTTGAACTATATTTTCAAGCACTTATCATCATTGGCATAGTAATTGGGCATAGTAATTCAGCAGCATCTGAAGACAGTCAGGATTTTTACATTTCAAGATAAGATCATTTTCCTTTATCATAAGAAAATACAATTTAAGTACTCTAAATTATTTCATTGGTCACTTAGCACAGGAGTAAAACAATACATCTTATAATTTTTGTCTACAGCTGTGAGAGCAAGTTCTCATGCACTAATAAGCAAACAGCTGGCATCAGTTCAGTTCACTACCAAAACAAGAGAAATGTACAAGCCTTTCCTAACCCTAACCGTAGCCCTTCAGCTGAAAGAGAGTAGCTTCTATTTCATTGTATCACTATCACAGAAGAAAAAGAGCCAAGAATTTGAATCTTGATTTCAGTATAAATAAAGCTCACATATTTGATACATAGCAGTTGCTGGAATTCCTTCATAATTATTTTTATAATGTTAGAAGAAACCTAATTAATTCAAGTTTTGGTGTCTTTAGTTTAATCGTACAGTTTCTTGCCTAGCCATCAAGAAATTTAACAAATGATAAATTTTCTTTATCGTACAATTGCAGTGTTGACATTGTATCTTGATAGTGCTTTATCATGCAAAATGTGCCTTAGATAATTTCCAAGCTCTCACACAATCTCAAGTAAAATCAAACGGTTTTAAAGTTGATGACCTCTATAATTGCCACTGCTTTAAAAATAAAAAAAAGAAATGCTAGTCTTTATTATGTTATTTTATTAGTATTAAATTATTTGCATTTAAAACATTTAGTGAACTATTCCTTTAATTGATTTTAAAAATGCTTATGTTTTTTAATTTGAATCTTTTAACCTAATATAATAATTGTACAAAATGCTGGTCTGTGATTATAAAAATAAAAATTACAGGCTAGTGTATGTTCCTTAGAAATCATTAAAGACTACATAGCTGCTCATTATGCTTTCACATAATGCTTTTTAGTAATTTAGCAAAGATACAGACTAGTTTACCAGATTATTTAAAATTTAATACCCAAGGGGAACAAACATAAAAACAAAATTTAAATGAGATTCTTTTAAGGAGTAACTCTGTTGAAAAACAGGAACTTATATTTTTCTAGCACCTTCAAAATAACATATCCCCTAATTGATTTTAATGAAAGTTGGGTGGCAATACAATACTGAACTGCTAAGCTGATAAACGTGTGTTATTGTGTTAAATATATATCCTAAATTTAGTGTTTTAAGCTTGAATCATGAGTGTAAGGTTGTAAAATGGGGCAAAACGCAATTAATAAATGTCTCACTTAGCATCAGAAATTTTGGGCTCAATTGTGGTCGTACGTTGAGGATTACCTACTCCTAAATGCTGAAAGTACTGCCATAGAAGCTTGAAAACCAAAGATGAAGCATACAGAGATACCAAGACTGCAACTTTCTGAAAACAGGAGAGTTTAATGGTCAGGTGTAAGGAACCTAATATTTATGCATTCTATAGGCCAGTCCTTCAGAGCTGAAGGAACCAAACCAAATTTACAGTGAAAGAAGGAATCAACCATGAACTTAGTGTAGGGAACTTCCACTGGCTCTAGAAAGGTTGGTTCTATAGTATGGTTAAATTTTTGCAGAATTTCTTTAATTATTCATTTTTACATAATTCCTATAATTTGCTGTTAGTTTTTAATTTGAAAGTTAATTCATACTCAGCTGTGTTTTTTGTATTTAAGACCAATGTGAAATTTTTTCTTTGTAGGGTGGAATGGTTAATTGGAATCGTTTCTTTCCTCCTTTACGTCACCGACCTAATGCAAATTATTTGGATAATCACCCAACTGTGCATGAGGGACAGCCTCCAGCTCAAGTTTCTGAAGAACAGGTAACATCTGCTTTTTATGAGAAAAAAAACACAGTATTTTAGACTCATGGTTCTGCTAAGCTTAAGCACATTAACAGCTTTCCATGCTTACTGCTCAGTACTATAAGATATGAGTAACTGCATATGCCTTATTCACATGATCTCTCTTCGCTAAATATAGGGAATGAATCATACACATTATACAGCATGAATTATTCCAATGTACTGTATGCCTAGTACTCACAATAAGAATACTGTACATCTAAACTGCCAGATAATGTATCATTGAATTGTGCATTATATTTTCAAGTGCTTGAACAGTATCTTCTTTAAATGTTCCATCTACTTTGTACATTCAGAAATAAGAGTGTTCAGTTAGAGCAGGGGTGTCAAACTCGCAACATCACGTATTGCAACGTATCGTGACTTTTTTGCCATTGCCGGCAATGGGGTGGGCGCGGTTTTGCTATGATGCATCCGGCCCACGAGCCAGCAGTTTGATACCCCTGAGTTAGAGGGTATTTTTCAAAGTTTACCTGCTTTCAAGACCTTGTGTTAAAAGGAAAATTAATTGTGCATTTAATAGACTGAGAATTGTGGAAGGTATCACATAGAAATATTTACCCTACTAGTCAGTTGTGAAAAAAAAAAAAAAGGATAGCAATTATTCCGAATGGCAACATCAAAATATGTGAGGTATCTAAGGGCTTTATTTAAGCTTGTTTACATATTTTTTAATTATGATTATACACAGTCTACGAACGCATATGGGTAAGTTTTTCTTTAAATACATTATATTCTAGCAGACCCAGTACACAGAGGTATGGAGGGGAAGGAAAGAGAAGCACATAAGCAAGCTACATTTCCATTCTTTCATAAAATTATACAATGAAGTTTTGCATTTGAAACTTGGGAGAGGGTCCACTGTTCCTTGGTGTTAGCTGGGACAGTGGAGGAAGCCTTATTGTTTAGATTCTCAGGGTTTATTCAGCTCGAAGCCTCTGGTAAAGCTGAACACAGAACCCTAGGACATGAACTTCCTAAAAACAAAGTAGCAATCTGGCAATTAGTTCTAGATTAACTGACTCGGGGGCTTCCCTGTCTCACTTGTCCCTCTGATTCATTATTGTAATTGGAGAAAATGAAACTTGAAGACAGTGAGTGACAAATACCGATCATTTTCTGTTCTTTAAAGCTTTTTAAAGACAAAACTGATATTGTCTTTCTGGAAATTTTGAATCATTTAAAAATACATTTTCCATTTGAGAATTATCCATTCTTCATCACAAAATGACAAAATAGAAAGAAAAAAGTTAACTGTTCAACAATAACAAAATAATAAATTATTTAATGGGAATTGGAATTATATATGTTAAAAAAAGAGGTTTAGAAGGTTTAATAAAAAAAATCTCTTAAAATTGAAATAAATTCTTATTAAATATAAAAACTGAAGGTTTTAGATTTTAATAATCACAGATGTGGCTGTTCTGGAATTATCAACTTACAGAATTTCCAAACAACCTTATTTTTAAAACAAATTGAGGAACATCAGGAAATGAGTTGCAAGCTTTTCATATTGGCATTCTGGGGGGGGGGGGGAAGCTTGTGATTTGTTTTTATAACTGTAGCAGCTCACAAACTTAATATTAAAATGGGTTTTTCCCAAATCCCCACCATGGATTTGCCTGGTAAATCTGAGCCAAGTCAGGAATTCTGCAATAGATTTCAATATTCATGTTGTGATAGGTAGGTTGTTAAGATTTGGGGCAGTATGTCCAATAACACTGAACTATCTGAAAAAAAATAAAAAAGAGATCTGTTTTGCTTCATTATATCATCTCATAAACTTGGGGGAAGGAATAGTAGGAAAAGCAGAACACAGCCAGGATGGCCCCAGCTTTTGCTCTTTCCCTTATTGATTTGGTTTGATTTCCTCTCTTTCTTTCAAGAGGTCAGAATGGAGTAAGATAGACTGAGGTGAAAGGAAATGAGTACAGTAGCCCAGTCTCAGTGTGTCCATGGTTAAGGTGGACTTGGATTTGGATCTTCTCACTCTTAAGGAAACATCTTAATGCTACTACACCATATTGACTCTTTTGGGTTCTTTTGTTTCTCCAATGCAGAACAGGCTGATTGGTGGGCTGTTCATAGTGCCCCTGCCCAGCCAACCCAGATGTTACTGTGTTGAATAACATGGATGGCTGCCCTGTGCAATTAATTTTGTGGGTCTGTCTGTCTTTTTTTTTCCTCTTTTATTTTTCATTTCCTCTCCTTCTGAATATACTGGCAATTATAGAGAAACATTCAGTAGTCCTTGTTTTCTGATTCCTTTTATAATATCCAAAATAAAAGTACCCAGGCTTCTTAAGCAAACTGAAAAAAAAAATGCAATTACCTAAAACAAACACTTGCTCTATTTATGACTCTGGTATCGTATGATAGTTGTCATGTGCTGAGCTTGGAAATTTTAAAGGGATTTCCCCAGGTTTCAGGATTTTTTAACAGTTGTGTTCTCAAAGGAAATTCAGATATTGTTTGCTGTCATAAATGTTATAGCCAGAGAAATATTTATTAATATATCCATATGAAAACCTGATTGTTGCTCCTTGCCATATCTTGGTACGTTCTTGAAAACTGTGGCTTGAATTTTTACATTACGCTGACAGACAGTCTAAGCAGCACTGCAGTGTTCCTCTTTCCTGTACTAGTGACATTGAGACATCTCAGACTACTGTGTCTCCCCTTACAACACCAACGTCTAGAAATAGGGTCATTATATGAGTTGCATGTGGGTCCCTCCAATAAGAAAGAAATCTTTTCTATTGCACTAATCAAGAAAGAGTATTACTAGTCCTATGATAGGTAGATAACGCAACTATTAAGTCTAGTTTCTTAACATGAGAAGCAGTGCCGATGGTATTGTCAGCAGAGTAGTTTATCCACCTAAAATAGAGGTGGAGTCTCATGAGTCCCTGTGCTACTTGATAAACTAAACAGTTGCATTAATTTTAATATATTTCATTACAAGAAAAAAAATCAATGTTACCAGCTAGGTTATAGCTATATTGACCTGTTTGCAATCAGTTCTTCAAAGCATGCTACTGTGCTGGCTGTTTTCATAATTTTTCCCCCCCCCTCTCTTATTTCTCCATAGGTTGCCCGGCTCATGGAAATGGGATTTTCTCGAGTAGATGCTTTGGAAGCTTTGAGAGCTTCTAATAATGATCTTAATGTAGCCACCAACTTTTTGCTGCAGCACTGATGAATTGAATACCTGCAGGGAAGAACTTAAATTGACGTGTGTCATGTGCTTTCCAGAGGGCTGTAAACAACTACAGGGTGGACATTGAATGTTTAAATCAAGAAAAGAGAAGCTGCCTCTTCACATGCAATATATTACTGCAGAAAAGATGGCTGGCACTGGAAATATCTTTCCCTTGAATGGAGTATACTAGCCAGGTTGCACTGGAAAAGTGTTTGCAATCATCAACATATGTTATATATCAATATTTATTTTGCAAAACCGGGTTTATGTGTTGCCCCCAACCCCAAAATCAGCATGAAATGTTTGATCATTTCTGATAACAAAGAAATAAGAATTTTTCTTCTTAAAATAACTCTGTTTGCCAAAAAAAATATTTTGTTTATAGATGGCCAACAAAGCAGCATTTTATTTTCTTATTTTTTAAAAAATACTACATTTCATTCATCTGCTTTATCAAAGCTTCAAGAAATGTGCAAAATTCCTTGGCTGTGTAATTTCAATAAAGGGAGAAAGGACTGAAATCTTGTATTCAGAAGATTCTATTCATATTTTTTTAAGGGTTGGGGAGAACACACAAAGCATGGCTTCTGGATTTTTTTTCAACCCCTTTACAAGCAGTGTTTATTATGGCCTGTGGAGCATGAGGCAGGCTGCATCTGATCTACATTAGCTCATGTGACCGGGAGAGAAAAGGGAATAAAAAAGTTTAGCAAGGAGCAAATAGCAACTTTCTAGGCTGTTGTCCAACTTCCTCTCTTACAAGTATGCATTTGGACAATCTCCCTAGCCATCTCCAACCAATGTTTGAACTCGGTCTAACTTTGATCAGACTCCCTGCCTTGGACAAGAAGTCTTCTAAGGTCCCTTCCAGCACTATGATTCCCTATGGCAAAATTGGTCTTGTTCCATTCAGTTTTGGAGAACTTTCTCACTGACAATAGGCAGATAAGTAGACTCCTGAGCTCCTTTATGTAGTTTCTTTCTGAAATAGGACAGAATAAAAAAATGACTGGAGGATGAAAATGGATAAATAAAAAGGGAAAGGCAGGAAAAGTACACTTATAAAAGAAAGGACAAGAAAGGGATTGTGATAGGATAGAAAGATCTAAACCCCATTCATATAAAGAAAGACTAAAGACTTCAGGAATGTTTTGCTGAGGGGAGATGTGATAGCACTATGAAACGGTGCCACTGCATTCCAGACCATTTGCAGTTTCTAAGTAGTCTTTATGGGGAATTGTTTCAGAAGATTAACTGGATGGTAACGAGGGCATGAGTTGTTGTAACTTGGTCTCCTGCATTGCAAGGTAGCAATTGGCACATCAGCTAGCAGAGAGCCCTCTCACCAGGACTTCCACCTATTCAGTCAGGAGCCATGAGTCCAGAAGAACTCATAAATTGTGAACTTGTCTTTCATGGGTAGTGGTTGCTCATCCAGAGGTAACATTGATGTCCACAGATCAGTCACTGAAGGTGTTGATAGCATCTCCCCAACAGTGATGATACTGCTGCACCTGAAGCCTTTGGATGACTTCTCCCAGTAGTTTCATAAAACTTTAGAGTATGAGAGAGGACCAACCCCTGTAGAACCTGACATTATGATACCCCCCTTTCCCCCAGCATAGACTAAAACCACCCAGTGAAGAAGGAGCAGTTTATATTGTAAAACAGTATTGGAAATCCTTTATTCCATTTCTTTTCTTTTCAGGGTAGGTTCTTAATCAGTTTCCCCGAATAGAAATATCTATTTCTTGTTAATAAACTCAGATGTACATGCCACAGTTAAAACCAGAATATATATATAAAAAGTCTTTGTATAGAATGAGAACTGAAAAACAACTAACCCATAGAATCGCTTCATACCATTTTTCAGATAATAATTTTTCTTTTGTGTTTTTTTAGATCCTTTGGTTGATACAACCTTTACGTTGTTCAGATTTTGTCGCGATAACCTTTCAGATTCAAAGCCTATTACGTAGTCTCTTCTAAAGATAAGACATGTAATTTTAGAATCATACTTTAAGCATGCTTTTGCAAAGTTAGATTTATAGCAAAAGTAACATAGCTGAGAAAATGAGAACAAAAGAGTGAATTTTACAAAGTCCCCATCAAGAAGGTTACAGGAAAACATGTCTTTTTTAAAAAATTAAGAATCAGCTGTGAATAACTGTGAATAATCTTTGAATAATCAGCTGTGAACAATCTTTGAGACACTTCCGAACCCACCAGTTACATTCTTTGAGGGCATGGCTTTAAATACTCTTGGTCTTCTGTTGACTCTTCTGTTGATTTCCATAGAGAAGTTTCAGGGAATTTTCACTCTAGGTTAGGAAAAAGGCTCGTAAAACTGTTGGCGTTTTTTGTCCTTTCTTATCTTTGTTCATTCTTTCTATTTTTATAAACTTTATACACTGCCAGATTTTGTTTGGATTTTTTATTGGTGCCTCTGCTATTTATCCTTTGGGACAATCTTCTTCTCCCATCTTCCCCCATTTCCTTGTTAGGGCACTTGTAACAGTTCTTTGCTTGAGAATAGTCATAGTTTGCATTTTCACTATTTGAGACACAATTATTTGGCAGGTTGTTTCATCAGAGATCCTTAATTATTACTGATATCACTGCATTTAGATTTTTTTTTAGATTTCTGCAAAAAAAAATATTTCCTTGACTGTCTTACGTCCAATTAAGGTCTCACCGCAAGCTATTTGCAGCATTCACACAAATGCTCCCCCAAGCCATTTGCAGACTGCTGTTGGCTGCATAGAATATTTGTTCTACAGTAGTTACAATTTTAGATCTTCTTGGAATTACTTTGGTGGGATTTCTGTTGATCACAGAAGCTTCCGGTCTCTTTGATTCTGTTAGATGTGCTGATTGGCACTAAAAAAAGCCTGGGAAGTATCTAAAAACATCTAGATCAGACCAAACTAAAAAAATGTTAATTGTAGTCAGAACACTATTTTTCATTATTTTTTTCATTGCAAGAGGTATACGTCTAAAGAACAAAAAGGAAGTAGTAAAAAGAAACATGGAAAGCTAATCATTTATAAAATGGTTACTCACTGAAATATAATTTCAGTAATAGTAATAAATAAGTGACTTAAACATCATCTGTGCAATTTACAAAAATGCAATTTACAAAAATAATATCCTTAATATCCTTTCATATGTACTTAATATATAGTATAATATATCCTACATAACTGAACAGAGATGAAATTAAGCTTGCTTGATTGTCTTAGACAAATTTCACAGGGTTGAATCCTGATACTTTTAGTAAATTAGATCACTGTCCTCCTGCCAATTATGGTTCTCCACATTCAGTGGAAGCCACAGCTATTGGCATTGTGAATACTTGTATTATGCATTTGCTACACACACTATGTAAATTATATCCACGTGTATTTGTTGTCATATCTCTGCCTTTTTATCATGCTTTTGATACAGTGAAACACTAAAGAAGATCTCACTTCAGCAGAGCTTGTATTCAGTTTATATAAAAACTTGTATAGTTACAAAATCAATTTGTAGAGTTTTCAGGGACAAGATAAGGAAGTCATTCATGGATGAAGTACAGTTAAAAAAAATTAAGTTGGGTGAAATGAAAACAAAATCTCTGTTGAGATGTTTTCCCCACTTTTATTTTGTTCATTTCAAGGTAGAGTATGTATTGTTTTTCCCCACCACAACCACCCTATGAGGTGGGCTGGGCTGAGACAAAGTAGCTGGCCCAAAGTCCCAAACTGGATTTTATGCCTGAAGGAGGGAATGAGGTCCTGGTCTCCAGATTTAAGCACTATACCCAATTGGTTCTCATATATGAGGGTTATCTGCATTAATATGGACAGACCCCATTCTCCTAATTTCTCCCTCCCAAAGTATTTTTACTTCAAGATTCCTCCAACTCAACTGCGATGTTTGAGGTAACATTTTGGTTACATAAGCATCAGCATTCCAGTCACAGATTGAAGTGGAAAGAAAAATAATATGGTAGTCCTCAACTTACGACCACAATTGAGCCCAACGTTTATGTTGCTAAGTGAGAAATTTGTAAAGCGAATTTTGCCCCATTTTATGACTTTTCTTGCCACATGCGTTAAGTGAATCACTGCAGTTGTTAAATTAATAATAAGGTTGTTAAGTGAATCTGGTTTCCCCATTGACTTTGCTGGTTGGAAGGTCATAAAGGGGGATCACATGACCACAGGACACTGCAACCATCATAAATGTGAGTCAGTTGTGTGAAAAATGGTCATAAGTCACTTTTTTCAGCACCATTGTAATTTCAAACAGTCACTAGTGCAGGGATAGGCAACCTTGGCTCTTTTGTGACTCGTGGACTTCAACTCCCAGAATTCCTGAGCCAGCCATGCTCAGGAATTCTGCTGGCTCAGGAATTCTGGGAGTTGAAGTCCACGAGTCACAAAAGAGCCAAGGTTGCCTATCCCTGCACTAGACAAATGTTTTTAAGTCAAGGACTACCTGTATTGGCTTGTATGACAAATATTCTAAATATAGAGAAATAAAGCTCGATAAAGATGTTGTTTTAATCTTGAACCAAACTAAAAAAATCTCAGACTGTGCTGGAGGTTTTTCTTTCTCAAAGTTAAAGATGCTTGTATTCAGGTACCACAGCTGATATTGCCTGTTTCATAAACAAAGAAGATTATTTTTTTTAAAAAAAAAAAGGAGTAGGACTAATTGTATCCTTTTCTGTTGCTTAGATCTGTCAGGAATGTTTCTCCTACCTTAAACTAAAAAATAGATTATGATATTGGAACTAGCAAAATCCTACTGATAAATTGCTCTCTGCAACAGAAAGTGTCTCTGTGTGTGCACAAAAAGCTAAACTGCTCCCCCTGCAGGCCATCCTTGTCCAGATCGAATTATGTTGGTAGTTATTTATATTGCATTTTGCTTTGCCCTCATACAACAGAACTAAATACCCTGGAACCTTATTGGGAGGAAGCTGAACTCCCAAAACCCTTCCAACTCGCTCCTCTTTGCCTGCTCCAATGCTTTCTTCTGCAGAGCCCCATTCAGGAGTTGCTGATCCTTTGCCGATCAAAGCAGGAACAACTGGTAGAAATTCAACTTCATGTATGCCCCCAGGGCAAGCATCTTCAAAGTTGGCGAATTCAGGCCTCCTCAGAATATCCTTGTATGTGTCTGAACAGAATGGAATTCTATATTTGGAGATTGCAAGGTTTCCTTTGATTGCCAGGATCAGTGAAATTGTCAGTGAAAGGTGGGATTCATGCTATGTGAGGAAATTCCCCAAAACATGTGAATGAATCATGAGCCAGAAGAAATAACAGACTCTACAGGGATCTCCTGGAGACCGAGTCCTAATTTGAGTCAAAGCTTGTAGCTTGAATTTGACTATGAAGTTATGAGAGTTCTCTAGGTTTGGCTACTGTGCTGTGGAAAAGGAAAGGGCATCAACTCCATCTAGATGCTCACGTTTATCTCAACTATAATGGTTCTAACTTACTGTTATTTAGTTAGGTTTATATACCAC